GGTAGTGGTAGTGGTCCTGGTAGTGGTAATGGTAGTAGTAGTAGTAGTAGTAGCAGTAGTAGTCGCAGTGGTAGTAGCAGCAACAATAGTAGTTTGGGGGTGTTGCTTGGGAGTAGTAGTAGTAGTAGTAGTAGTAGTAGTAGCAGCCGTAATAGCAGCAGTGGTAGCAGCAAGAGCAGGAAAATTGCAAGCGTTCTTCATGGCATTAGTGGTGTGACTCAGAGTACTCTACACATATTTTCATATGTAACTCTCTATCTCTCTCTCTCGAGAAAAATATATATATATATATATATATTTGTATTTATATTTAGATTTATAGACATACATGAGCCATATGTAGACTAAACATACATATACATAATAATATCATAACTATACATACATAAACGAACTGTGAGGACAACAATCGGTAAGGACAACAGAGCAGGCCAAGGCTTCGGCTTCTTTCCTTTGAAGTTCTTGGCCCCGCCGCCGGCCGGGGCACCTCCCTTGGGGATCTTCGGCCCTGGCAAGGGTCAGGATGCATTGGGGTTCCGGGGCTACTCATTCTGCGCCATGCCGGGTTGAATTCGGTTCGGGTGACAACGGTTGAGGCTTGTTATGATTATGTTAACGGAAATACCGGCAGTGGCGGTGGAGGTGTTTGCAGCGGTGGTGGCGATGATGAAAGTTGTCTCTAACTCTATAACGCGGGGAAGCATTCGAGCCTCATGAAAGACGATTGTCGTTACGAGGGTGAGTCCATTCATCTGCTGGCGCTGGAAGTTCTTCAAGTTTCCGGGCTGCCCGTTCGTAGCTTCTCAGCAAGAGTCGTTCGAAGCCATGAGTTGACACTTGACCTAACGCCACCATGAAGGACGATGAGGTCTACCCTCAGTGGTGTCTGTCGCAGAATTGGCAAAGCCTGTCAAAGCTGATCTTTAGTTCCATGCGGGGGACATGCTCCGACATCCCAGCTCCTCTACCCATGTAGCTTTTGACAAACCTGCAGGGTGTGAGGGTACTACAACATGATAGTCTGTGCCCGATCTGAGTTTGCCGCCTTTCTCGGCCTTGCCCTTGGGCTTTGCGGCGGCGGTCTCGGAAGACAAGGACGCATTTACGTATGTCTGCAAAGGAATGAG